CGGAATAGAGGCATTTCAGCAGCACCAAATTAGACCCTACAGAAACTATTTTGCTACTGATTTTATGCTTAATTGACCTTATCTTGCTGTGATAATTGAAGACACTGTTAGAGAAAGTGTATTATGATTATATAAGGTTGTGAGAACCTTCAGTTACAAAAGTTTCAGGTGTTTTGACCTAATTGCCCTTGAAAGCTTGAAAGTTAAGGCTTATTGTATTCCAAGCCTAATGTGAACTTATTTATCATTCCTTGCTCCTTTCATTGATAAACCTGTTGAACAAGGTTGTTTTGTGTTATCAAGTCTATGGATATAGAAGAATTATCAGTGATGAAGCTACAGGGTGATTTGACAGATTTACCCTTGTCTACGGTTTTGAAGCCTTGTGTGTTGATATTATTGTATACTTGTTGTCCATTGTTCTAGATTGATATGAGCAAGTTAGTTGAGCTAATTCAGGGCTGTGGGAACCTAGTGTGAGCTATAAGTGAAGCTGCATTGTGATTTTACAGTTCAATCCTTCTTATTGCAGTAAAGAGGAAGCTAGGGTTTTCACTTTGTTTTCTACTTAAGGCTGTGTATTGCACTCTCATTTATTGTAACAGCTTAAGTACATTGTTCTAGTTGTATTGACATCTTATTCCATTGTTGGTTTAGCTTTTGAGAGCTTATGGGTCCAAGCATGGTTGCTTAGGATAGGGGGAGTGTTTGTATACACTGTGTTGAGCTAATGTGTAAGTAGAGTGTGTGAAAACTAGTGTCTACTCCTGGTACAAGGGTGTGTGCAGAGAGTGAGACAGCTGAGTGTGTAACAGCTTGCTTGCAGCTAGTGGATGTTTTTATTGGCTGAGGCCAAGAACTAAGGTTTTTCTCTATTGAGAGGGTTTCCTTGTAAATCTTGAGTTGTGCTATGTTTTGGTTATTCTTATTCTCTTGGTTGTGCTTTGATTCCAAAAGTTTTCTTGAAAACAGGAAAGAAGTTACTTAGACCAATTCACCCCCTCCCCCTCTTGGTCTAACAGTAATACCCCTAGTTTTCAAAATGATATAATTGGAATTTAATTTTTATTTCTTGTGCATTTTTTTTTAATTAATTTTGTGGCTATGTGCTTATGTGGCTTTATGTTTGTTTGATAAGTTGTTTATTTGAAATATGTGGTTTAATTGTGTGGATTTTCTTGTAACCTATTTGTTAGTTTCAATGATTATTTGTTAAAAGATGATGTGTTGATTTAAATGTAATGTTAGTTTTTATTTAAATAGGTGTTTTATTTTATTTTTTTTAAATTAAAAATAAGGCATTTGGATAGTAGTAATGGACCAACAGTTAGGTCTCATGGACTACTTGAATAGAGGTTGATTATGGGTACGGATAATTACCTGTATATGGTTGGTTGGTTATATGTATATATACTAGAGTATATATTTAAGAGGATGGAGTGTTATTATTATTAATAATTATTTATTTTAATAATAGTAATATTTTTATGTTAGGGGATTCTATATATATATATATATATATAGGTGATCACGTATAGGGCAATATACGTATTCTTAATTATATTTTTATTTTCTTTTCTCTTCTTTTAGGATTGCCGACTTAATATCGGGTGGGGATTAGGGTTTGTATAAACCTATATATATGTAAGGTTGCGTCTGCCAAGGGTTTTGGGAACCCCATTCACGTAATAGTGGAGGCAGAGAGAAAGAACAGAGAGGTTTGAGAGAAAGAACATAGAGTTTTTGAGAAAGAAGAAATTAGGGTTTCGGTCATAGTTTAAAGGTCGGACCACGGGGGAAGGTTGAGGACTATTCGAGGGTTAGAACTAGAGCAGAGGAGTTCTTGACGACAATTACAATCGCCAGAAAGAAATTAGGAAGAAGAAATTAAAGGTTTTAATTCGAAACCTAGAGGCAAGTTCTATTTTTTTCTCTTTTCCTTTGACCTGTGTTCTGTGCATGCCTAGGTAGTCTCTAGGAACTAAACGGATATTAATAATGGTTAAGTTTACATGTTAATTTAGGTTTTAAACTGTATTTTATGTGTTGATTAATTGAAATTTAATTGTTGAACAAATTGTTTCATATTCTGTTTTAAAATCTTGTAACGATGCATACTTTGATTTAAAAGTTTCTGGAAGAATTTTGGGACATAAACGGACTTTTGGAAACCTAAATAAGACATTACAGAGTGTTTTTAGCATTATCAGAGATGAGGATGATAACAGGAAGCAAGGACAGAGCCGTTTCCCAAGGGGATGGAGCCGGCTCCTAAAGATTTTTTCCCACGACTCTATGTGAGAAAGAGAGTAGGCTTCATAGAATTAGGGAACCAGCTCCCTTGGTCATAGAGCCGGCTCCTAAGGTTAGGGAGCTGGCTCCCTTGTATGGGAACTTGCTCTCTCATTTTTGAGAGCAAGCTCTCTTGCATAGTAACTTATGGGATTTTTTTAAAGTATGGTTTTGGTATTTTTGGAGTTTCTGGACTGTTCTAGATTGTTACTAAGGATTCTAAACTTGGTTTTATAATTTATTAAAACTCAAATAGCATAATTAACATCAGTATGCTAATGGATTTAACAGTATGGAAGTTTAAACAATTTTTGCATGCTGTTAATGGATGTAAATGATTTAATTGTCTAGTCTTCTTTTAGCAGTTTAAATGACTGGAACATGATTTTTAAAATCTGTATTGGATGCATAATAGGGTCATATACTTATTAGATTTTATTATGCTCACCCTGGATTTTAATTAACGAACTATTAATTTCTGTTCTTTCAATTACATGGATGCTATTCTGGATTTTAATTGATGAACCATTAAATTTTGTTCTATCAATTACATGGATGTTATTCTGGATTTTAATTGATGAACTGCTTTATCTGTTTTATCAATTATTGGATGTGCGGATTATATGCACCGGTATGAGACGGTGGCATATTAAGTATGGATTAGATCACAACGCTAACTCCTACCTATTCTGGAATAAGGGAACGGATTATAAAATTAAATCCTACTTATATTTAAGTCAGATCAACTGAACAAGTTAAATGACTAATTGGATTACTTGTTACTTATATATGCATTGTGATGCATAACTGGTTATGATGGTAGAGGTGTACCCTGTTAGGTTTAGGTACTCATGCCTACCTCAGGTGCGTTTTGCATGCTGCCTTCTATTCTGGTTGAAACCCCCTTTGTAGTCCAGTGAGAGTCCCTTAGTGTGGATATATATGTATAGACTAGATAGATATTGTTGAGTTATCTAGGATGTATCTACGTATCGGGTTTCTGTTTGGATTGTAATTAGAATATAACTTGTTTGTGGGCCTGACCTACCATCATTTTTCAGGTATTCGTCAAGAGTAGGGATTGTTCGTGCTGAGCAGGGATCATCTTCTTCACTCTTCCGGATTGTGTTACTTAGGAGTTCATTTATGTTTTAGTTTTCTGATGTAGACAATTATAGCTACCATTTATTCAGTTTTGGTTTTCCAGGGGTCCATAGAGTATGGATTCCCGAGTTGTATAAATTGGAGGATTACTTGTATTAGAGGAATTTGTTAATGGAAAATTTATTTTGAGGTTTTATTAAAGGATTGTCATTTTAGTTTCTTTTAATCATTTATTTATTTCTGTTATCTATTTTGTACTCTGTGTTCGATTATTGCCATTTGTTTTGATATTATCGGGTATTCGGGCGTGGGCCTGGCCAACCTGCATTCTGAAATTTGGGGGTATCACATGCACCATGAAAACGTGCTACCAAAGAATTGTGCAACTGTCACTAGATTTTCACTGTAAGACCACAATGCACATGTTAGTCATGTGCACCATATACACAAAAGACCAAAATACCCTTCAAGACGATAGATGTCACATATAAGAAATCTGTGTAACAGCCTGTAAATACACAATAAATGTAATTCCCTAAGATCATAATAGCAATGTAGTATCCAATGCAAATGTAAAGTGACCACATAGATGCTTGAAATTACAAGGCTACCCTTGAGAGTGACAGACTTCATAATAAACCAGAAATAAGAATGTTTAGGCCTGTGACCTGAATCTGTGATATAATGTACCATCTTGAGTTGATGTTAAATGGCCTCTCACATATTAGAAATGACAATACTGCCCCTATATATATCAGAATTAACCTGAGCTCACCAGAACTAGTGGAATATCACATGAATAAACCTGTTAGCTAACTTTTGACATTTAAAGGGAAAAGCAAAGGCTGGGATCAACAGACCCAACTATGCTTTGATAAGTAATAGGGTTATAAAAGACTTATAAAGGCATAAACCCTAAGCTAATGGCCCATATGTGGCCACTCGATAGTCCATTACCACCTGCAATGTTTGATGTTAGACATCATGATTGAATCTCCACCTAACCCTAGACATAAGAAAACAAAACAAAAAGGATCCAATAAAGTTCTCCAAATCAGTCAGTACAATTTAATCGCATAGATCAAATTAGCTTCTAAAAACCATAATAATAGGCTGATTTATCATCAAAATACTAGATAGAAAATCATGCAACAAATTTTTTTTGATCAAATTAATCAAATCTTTAGATTCAATTACACTAATGCCATGTTTAGGACTACCGAACAACGGCTTGAATTTGGAATTGGAAGAAATTTAATTAAAACTTTGAACTAATTTTTTTTTTAAAAGGGTTGAAATCACAAAACTCCCCTACTTTCAAAATCGTGCTTAAAACCCCCAATAAAATAAAATAAAATAAAATAAAATAAAATAAAAAAAACGCTTGAATTAACAAGACTTATCAAGTTACCCCCAAACCCGGGACTGACCTGTTAAGGCCCTATTTGGTATGTGTTCTGTTCTATGTTGTTTTGTTCCAGGCCCGCTATAGTAGCCCAAACTCGGCCCAAAACATGTTTGGTTGGTTCTGTTTTGTTTTCAACAGTTGCAAAACATTCTAATTAATTGGCCCAAAACTTGAAACACCGAAATGATGTTTTATGATGTTCAGTGTACTGTTGGCCCAAGTCTGGTACTGTAGCGGAAGGAACAAACCCAACTTTTCTCTCCCAATAACCTTCAAATGTAACCTCTCCACCCCTTCTCTTAAACCCCTAATTGCAGAACCAGACCCAGTTTTCAATTCCGTTAAGTACTTCACACTAGCCGCGGTCGCTAACCTCGACTCTGGCTTTGACTTCCTCAGTTGCGCCGTTGACGGCATCGACGACTACGTCACTTTGCAAGTCGATCTCGACGTCCATCCTGGAGAAATCTCCATCTCCGAGAAACTTAGCAAAAACCCTCTATGGAATTGTGCCAGAATCGTTGCCATTTCCATCATGAAGATACTTAACATCCGATTGGTGGGCCTCTTTCTTTCCCTCGAGAAAGGTTTGTCGTTGGGAAGCGGCCTCGAATTGAGTGCCGCCAGTGCCGCCATGGCAGCAGTCGCGGTGAATGAGCTTTTTGGTGTCCCATTGTCTATGTTGGATTTAGTCCTTACCAAACTCGAATCGAAGTCCAAGGTCTCCGGTTACTATGCTGAACCTCTGTATCAAAGTATGGAATGTCTTGGTTCAAAGTAGGTGCTTGATTCTCATCTTCGTCGATTGCCTCTCTCCTGTCGACATCCAACACGATATCTCTGCAACCCATTAATTTTAGTGAAAATTCGTTACCCAAATCAAAACCAATATGAAAATTCACAAAAAATTCAAACTCACCTGCCCATGAAGACGCCCATATTCAGCTTCAACAACAAGAAAGTAAAATGCAAACTGCAAATTCAAAAAGAAACCAATAAAATTACATCTTGGTTTTGATTACAAACAAACCCACCACCACATTCTTTAACTTTCTCTCTCTAAAACTTTGTAGCTCATTTCTCTCTAAAATTTACTCCCAATCCCATTTGTTTAACATGTCCTTGAAATAGAGAAGTTTTTTACAGTGTTAAGTGGTTTCATCAGTTGTTTCTTATGTAAAACAGACACAGAAGTCTAAAGAGAGAAAGTTGAGGGAAGAGAGAGAAAGAAAGAGGCTCTGGACGTGAAACGAAATATCTTCCAAACATGTTCTACCATGTTTCTATTCCAAAATTCTCACTGAAAATTTTCTTCGCCAAACATGTTTGTTTTCATCTCATAACACCACATTACAAAATACTTATTTTGTTCTAGGCTAAAACAAAATGTCCGGGAACACAACGCATACCAAATGGGCCCTAAATAGGCTGTGAAATGTCAAATTTGACCTTACTATTTAATGTTAAATTAGAAGGTATAATTATTATTTTAAAATTACAAAATATCCCAAAGTGCTTATAAAAATATTAATTAAAAGCTATTAAATCAATTTTGACTTTCAAAGTGGTTAGGAAAAAGACATGGCTATTTTTGTAATTTTAAAATAAAATTTATAGCATTTAATTTAATATTAAATAGTATGGTCAAATTTGACAATTCACAACTCATTTAATGGGTCGGTCATGAGTTTGAGGGTAACTTGATAAGTTTTGTTAATTTAGGGGTTTTTTAATTTTATTGGGGGTTTTATGCACGATTTTGAAAGTAAAGGAGGACTTTGTGATTTTAACCTTTTTTAAAATATTAAATTCAAAGTACTGATTCAGTGCTCCCAAACATAATATGAGTATAATTTATCATCAAAATACTACATAGAAAGAAGGGTAAAGTGCAAAAAAACCCTTGAACTATTGTCCTGCAAATAACCCATCTAAACTAAAAATTGTCCCCTAAATTATTGATTTGTTACAATTAAGGACAAACTCATCGTAAAAGACTATTTTACCCTTTCTCATTAAGTCATTTCTTATTAAATTATTTTTATTATCTTTTCTCTTATTTATATATTAATTATACTATTTACCTTAATTTAATTATTAGTATCAATTTATCATAAAAATGAAAAAAATAGATTTGTAACTTCTATTTTCTAAAATGATTAACTTATTGTTAAAATTTTATTATTTATAATAAAACTTATTATATCCAGTTTAAAAAAATTTACCGTAGAAAAATACTTTATTTTTCATACAATATATTGATGAAAAGTTAATAAATTACTTAAATAAAAAAAAATACATTCTTTTCATGTAACATATTCATGAAAAATTAAGAAATTAATTACATTTTTAAAAAAAAATTGTACTTAATATTTTAATTTAAAAAAAATAAAGATAAATTTATGAAATTTAATGGAGAATATGTCATTAAATTAGTATGAATTTTTTTCACAATTTATTTCAATAAGAAAAATAGATTAAGTGTAATTCAATAAGAAAGTGCATTATGGTCATCTAATAAAATATAGTTTAGGCATTGGAGCATTTTGCAACAAAATAGAATAATTCATGAGATATTATGCACAGAATATAGTTTAAGAGATTATTTGCAAATTCAAATATAGTTTGAGATTTTTTTTTCACTTTACCCTAAAATGAAATTGAGATCCATTTCAAACACTATCTAGTCCTCGTATAAAATAATCTTAAAATCATATTCTAAAAAAATAAGTAAAAAATAATAGTAAATAAATAAATAATTCTAAAATAATATAATTAAAACCATTTTTTGTATTAGCTGATTTAAACCTGCTAAAAAGCAAAACTCCTAAAATCCATATCCAACAAGACCCTCTGTTTCATTTGGATCGGGTGAGAAACTTTCGGGTCAAATTTCAGCCGCCAATGTAAAATCTAGATTGTAGAGAGAGAGGGACAAACCCTACAAAAACCCTGAAACTTCTATGGAGACTGGACGCCGTTTCTTGTCCTTCAAGACAGAATACATTTTATTCTCTCACTAAATTCTTACTCAGAATCTATTGGAGGGATTGTATTATTGTTCTTTGGTTTGGGAATTTGACTCTCTATTAGAGAGAGAGTGTGTGCTTGTGTGATGGCAAAAAGTAGTGCTGGTGCAGGGTTTATCGCAGCCCTAGTCGCAATCTTCCGAGTGGACCATGCCTATGCTGATGGCCCCTTCTCCTTCTCCCCATTTTCTACATCTCCATCTCCATCTCCATCTCCGGCTTCGGCGGCTTCTTCTTCTCCAAAACCTTCTTCAGAATCATCTTCTCCACCATCTCAACCCAATGCCGAACAACCTCCACGGGTTCGCAACGATAATCCACGAACAACTTCGGCTGGGTTTGATCCCGAAGCGTTGGAGAGGGGTGCAAAGGCTCTCAAAGAGATTGCCAGCTCTTCCCATGCTAAAAAGGTTTCAGATTTGGGTTATTTCTGTAGTTATTGTTAATGGGTTGTTGGTACTTTTGTCAAATTTGACTTATTTGTGTACTTATTTTTTATTTGTTTGTTTTATAAGTTATTTCAGTAGTTAATATTAATGGGTTCATTCTGTTTCTGTTACTTTTGTCGATTTTAAATCTGTTGTCTTTTTGTTGTTCTGGGTTTGGATTTGATGTATGATTCTTATTATTGGGTTTATAGATATAATTTTTTCAGGGGTAATTTATGCTGGGTTTGTTATTGGTTCAGGTCTTCGAGACAATGAAGAAGCAAGAAGAAACGAGGCAGACGGAATTGGCTGCAAAGGCGGCAGAGCATAAAGCATTGCAAGCTCAATCTGAAACTGTACGACTCCATTGTTTGCATACAAATATACAATTTCTTTTGATTTAATTATGTTTTTTTCATAGCCTTTCAATATTTTAGTGTTTCTTGAATTCAGGCATTAGGATTCTACTTTCCCTTCCCTTTCTCCTTTTGACATTTCTGTAGCTCCAAATGAAGTACTATTAATCAAGGAATTGCTCTTCCAGTAATTCCTTGAATACATGCATACATGGTTCTGTTTAGAATTTCCTGGTTTATTATAAACATTAACATTGTATTACAAATAGCCAAAGTGGTATCACTTAGTTTCTACAAAGATACTTATGGTTCAAATATATTGTGCCAAATTAACTGTTAAGTTTAACTTCGCAGTTGTTGAAAAATTAGTGATTGAATTGGGGAGTGGGTTTGGTCATGCTCACTAACATGGGCTTGGTGGCACTGGCGGAGCCAAAAAGGGCAAAGTGGGGGCAATTCAACATTTTTTTATATTTTAATTTTATACCTATATTGTTTTGAAAGTGTAAATATGCTCCCTCTCAAAATTTTCAAAAAAAAAAAAAAACCCTCAAATTTTAATGTTTTTTAGTGTTTTTATTTCTCAGTTTTAGATTTACATTTTCGTCTCACAAAGTGTGCAAATCTCTCTCCACAATTCATAGCAAGTTCATATCCTTCATTTGGCCTTCTTTGTACTTTCTCAATCTCTTTCCAACACAAAAAGTGCAAAGAGAGAATTTTAAGTCTTAATTTGTAGTCAATTTCTTGATCTTAAGCTGATATACAAAAAATTCTCATCCCCTTCTTTCACTCATTCTTACAGGTTTTGCAAAATTGAAGTTTTTCTTAAAGGAAAACAAAAACAAAAGAAGTAGGATTTTGTTAACATACTATACATATGTAATGGTATTGATAATAAAGCACTTGTGCAACAATATTTTGAAACATTACAACTTCTTGTTGAATGTATTAATAGAAATATTATCTCTCAGTATTTAGTTTTTTTTTTTTTTTTAAATTTTTTTATATCAATTATTTCGGTTCAAATTTTTTATCATCTTATCATTTTTTCAAAATCTTTTGCCCCCACTGGAGAGATTTTTTGCCTCTGCCACTGCTTAGTCGATTTGAAGCCAGCTGTAGTGAAGCTATAGATAAGGACCATGAAAACAAAATAAGTTCATAAAATTATGATTATTAGTCATTTTAACATGATAAAACTGCATGTGATCTTGCAATTGAGGAAGGACATCATTGTCTGTTTTAATCTATAAAAGCCTCTACAAGAAATACTACGATCTTGTGAAAACTGAAGACTATATCAGGTTGCACAGTGGATCCTTACAGAAGCTATTGTCTATTGTGGATATGATGTCATATAATGCTTAAAGAATATTTCAAATAATTACCAAACAAAATGCAAAATTTAAGTTTGGCCATGGCCATCACACTCTAGCCTTCCTAAGTGATTGACATGCTACATTCTTCACTGGTTTGTGACCTTGCAACGGTTTGGCAATTAGATTTCACATTCTGAAAAGGCAAAGAGGTCCAAAAGTTAATCCATTGAAAGATTTATCGTCTTTTGTATGTATCATATGTAGGCATAAGCACTATGTACAACCAATTCCTCCAATAGTGTATTGTAATAGAAATCCCCCATATGCTGCATAAGTGCACTCCCATCTTTGATTGAGCAATTTTTTTTTTATCTGTGTATAACTTTCTCCATCAGAAATAAGGTCAGAGATCCAAATGGTACCTTTGAAACATATATCTACTAATACAATTGGAGAAGAAATATCAAGGAAGTGGACATAGCTGAAGAAAAACACATTTGATCCTCTGAAATTTATGGGTAGCTCTTTCTAACTAATTTAAATGATATCATTCTTATGAACATGAGTTCCTAGATAATTTTTCAGCCTCATTAGAGATTTCCATTAGGTAGAAAACACATAAATGTAGTGATAGTGCTACCAGTATGAAACATTTTGAAATTGAAATTGTGCAGCACCTATACATATACTAACTACTAAGCATTCCAGAAAAACAACAGAAAAATTAAAAATGAGACTCAATAAAAAAATTTATCGTTCTTGCGCGAAAAACAAATTTTCTTGGACTTCTATCAAGAATTAATGTCTAAGGCTGCAAAAACAGCAGAAAAGTTGAATCATAAAAATTAAATAAGATTAGAAACATGAAAAAAAAAAAAAAAAAAAAAAAAAAATAGAATGCTTGAATATAATTTTTCCCGGCATTATTTTGGTAATCACATGAAAAATCATAAAAATCTGGAATTTAAATATAAGGAGAGAAATACGTAAAACATGATAATATGACTGAAGGGACACTTCGTGCAGCACTACTATAATCGATCAAGACCTTATTAACAGGATATCCTTGCAAATCCAAACCATACATGCGATCCACCCTTTACTGCAGAAGTGTTGAACAATGGCTAAAGCTTATTCTTTAAAGATAGACACATTGTTTCTTATTTATTTGAGACCAAAAATTGAAAAAATATGGACACTTCTTAATCAATGTTAGTAAAATGCTCTCTAGGCAGTGATCAGAATCCCCGTGCTTCCATGCAATTGGCAATTTTTGTCACCTCCAAAGTCACATCCGAAAATGGGTGATATTACACCTTCAAAAGATGAAAAATTACTGGACAAAATGAATTATAAGTGCAGGATGCATCACGTATTCTAAACGCCCTGTATTGAGGATGCATCTTGAGAAACTTTTGTCATGCTGACAGAAAAATGTGAAATACATACTGCAAGAATTGGTCCTTATTGTTATTAAAATGATAAGCACGACAATGTTGCCCCCTTAGTCTCCTGTGTGTACCTTAGGCCTTCCCTTGCCACTCGTTCAACCATGATTTTCCTTGGATTCTTGCAGTTTGCATCGTCTCATCATGGGAATGTAGGACAAAATTGGTTATGAAGGGTGACCATTTGTTTGGACTGAGAACATTCTGTGGTTGGAGCTGTTGTTATGTGCTATTATTTTTAAATGTTCCTTTGTTGGGTTCTTATCTAATAGAAACAGATGCTGAATTAGACCTTCCCTCAGTGGCATCTTTTATATTTGACCTTCCTAGGAAGAGTGACTCAGCCTGTTGAGGTAGAATCTACATCTATGGTTTCAACAGTACTGTTTAGAGCTAAATCTTATTAACCACTTTCATTGGTAAGACCCAAGATGTCTTGGTTTCTGGGTGATATAATCTGGCTCCTTTCATGCACAGGCATCTCACTCTTTATTTATTTAAATATTTTCTGTGTATTCATTATATGTGATCAAGATGTGAGGAGGATTAATATTTCCCACTTTAATTCGTAAACAAGATGGATGATATTAGGAGGGGCTCATTTCACTTGGGCGAGTTTGACAAATTCTACCTGATTTGATCCTTTGTTGAAAGAGATAATGTATGTAATTGGTCGGTTCTTTTATATTCTCTTTGTTGCTGTTTACAGATCAAATAAAGGCATCATGTTGCTATTTAAATGGCTTTTTTGAGTTTTTGGCTCCAACACCCTTATATATGAACAAAAAGCATGCTTAGTATTCATATTCAAAGTGGTTCTTTTGTTAGATCTGTATGCAAAGAATGTCTCTTATGTGTATGCGCTTGTAAAAATTTTAAAAAATATACCAATGAAACTTCTTTTCCCCCCTTGAGCTAAGTTTCGTTATAAACTCTGTTTTTTCGCAGGAGAGACAAAGGGTAATATATGATGAACAGAAAAAGCTAGCTCAGCACCAGGCACAAATAAAATCCCAGATGGCTCGTTATGAGGATGAGTTGGCAAGGAAGAGGATGCAAGTATGTGACTTTTGATTTGTTTTTGGTTACACTGTAGTTTTATATTGATATTTTGGAAGGATCTGATTGGTTTTTATCTGCAGGCAGAAAATGAACATCAAAGAGCAAGAAATCAAGAGCTTGTGAAAATGCAAGAAGAATCATCTATTAAGCAAGAGCAGGCAAGACGAGCGACGGAAGAACAGATTCAAGCACAGCGTCGACAAACAGAGAGGGAAAAAGCTGAGATAGAACGTGAAACCATCAGGGTGAGGGCTATGGCAGAAGCAGAAGGGAGGGCCCATGAAGCGAAGCTTGCTGAAGAGGTTAATAAACGCATGCTAGTAGAGCGTGCGAGTGCCGAGAGAGAAAAATGGGTAGCTGCCATAAACACAACCTTTGATCATATTGGAGGTATATCAGTTAAACGTGCTTGCCTAGTACCTACCTTACATGTGTCTCTCAAATGATCAACGCACTGGCCAATGATCATTTTGGGTTTTTACACGCTATTCCTGCTTTTTGATTCATGAGCAATAAAATATATATAGGATTTCTGTAAATCGAGATGTCAAATTTCTGTTGAAATGTGTGCCAGAATATATATAATTAGCTGTGATTTTGGGTAGCTGAATTGTTCAGGGATTTTCTTCTAGTGTGATGAAATTATTTTCTGAAACTAGGTCAGAATCTTAGATTTTATATCAATGCCATAATTTTATTGCTGTAAGCAGAGGTCATTGCCGTTTCTTCATTACATTAATTGCAGTTATGTTGGCTTCCAAAGGCAAGAGGAAGGCAAAGTAAGATAAAAATTTTGGAAAGATTTTGTTGTAGGACTTTCTTTGCTTTTATTCGAGCTCGTCAGATCCTAGAGTGCGGACCAAGGACAAGAGAACCACAGAAGAAATTATAAAAAATTACTATGAAAATCATATAATGAGCACTACAACAATCATTCCAAAAAAATTTAGGCCATGCTAATTAACGCCTACAGATTTGAATGCTTGACTTCTCAAAGAAACAATAAAATGCTTGACCTTCAAGTTCTAGTAATCAAACGAGTCACGGTCAAAGTGTGATTTCACAAACTGAACAAAGGCTAGATTGACAAATTGAATGCTTAGCCATGACATTATAAATGCATACATAATGTTGAATTTATCAATTAATATTTAAGTAGTTGACATTATAAATGCATACATAACGTATTGAATGTATCAATTAATATTTAAGTAGTTGTAGTTATTGTTTTGGTTCAAAGAGGTTTTTATGTTATTTGATAACTTAAGGTTGCCCCACTAGAGGAAATCCTGACTCTGCCACTATCTATGAGATAGGACCATTCTTTATTTTCATTCTCAATGTAAATAAAATAAAACTTATGATTTTTTAAGAGCATGTCTTATGAGGCAATTTGACTTTTTTTTTTTCTTGGATGTTTATGACGCTTTAGTTTGTAATTTTTCACTCTAGGAGCGATGCTTAGTTGAGAGCTAAGTAGATATAGAGTTGAATAGGGATGTGTTCTTGTAGAAATATTACCTGAAAACTTGTTGATTTTTTTCCCTTTTGTTATATATCATTGCCATGCTAGAAGTTTTATCTGATGCATAAATATTCTCACCAGGATGAGGGTTCACTCCTTTTCCTATATCATTTCTCTATGAAAACTAGCACTTCAAAAAAATAGCCAAGGTTGATGGTACCTGTTTGTTTTTGTAGGGGGTTTGCGGGCCATATTGACCGATCAGAATAAGCTGGTTGTAGCTGTTGGGGGAGTTACAGCTCTTGCAGCAGGGATCTACACAACGAGGTATTGGAATTCTTAGTCATAGATCGAATGTTCTGAATTTGATTTATTTGTATGTTTACTACTGCCTTTTAAAAAATTTAATAGTCCTGGTATATGAGTTTAATTTGAAATTAGCTATTGTTCTTGGTCATTGCTGATTTTAATTTTCAATCTACCCATGAGATATGATAATGTCCAATATGGTTGCAACCCATTTCTGCGAACATGGGTTTGGTTTGGTGTTTTTTTTTGGGGGGGGGGGGGGGGGTTGTGTTTTCGGGGGATATGGGATGTAGAGTGGACAATTGTTAAATCTCATTTGTGATGAGATTTTTACTGTTTTTCATTTCCTGCCATCTGATAGTATTCTGTGCAGTTCCTATTCTTCCAACTTTGTGGACCATGGAAATTTGTGTATCAAATCAATTTGATGGGTTAGATATATAGGGTGACGCTATTTGCACTTCTCATAAAGTTTCTTGTACACCCTTCCCCCTTCTAAAAAATTTCAAGAATGCAATGGTCTGACTACACCTCTATGCAAATGTTCTTGATTGTCAAGTTAAGAACTGAAATTTGTGTGCGTGCGCAGGGAGGGTGGGAGGGAGAGAGAGAGAGAGAGTGCGTTTTTTATTTATTTATTATTTTTTATAGATATATTTTTTTCTGTTTGAAAGTCAACTAAAAGACACTTCTATAGTTCAGAACGCTCAATTTCTTTAATTAGAAGCAATCTCTTGTTCATAGCATAATTTAAAAAATAAAATAAAAAATTCATAGCAGTATTTGTGGAGTTAAATCTGGTGAAAGGAGTTGATTTGAGTTCTAATAGGGTTTGTGGGGTTTAGACTATTAGTCTATTCCCTTATGGGAATTAGTAATAAATTCAAGTGTAGGAACTATTCCGTTTGGTGTTGGTTGGAGTCCAGTCATGGGATTTTTTAGGTGCGCCCTTTCTACAGGTGCAGTCAAGTTGTTGTATGTGCAAGAAAGATGAAGAGTCAGTTTGTCATCTTCTCTTGCATTGTCTGGTAGCTCAAGATTGTTGGGATATGTTTTTTGTCCTGTTTGGCGTTTTGTGGGTTATGCCGGAGTCTCTGCCGAGCATGCTTGAGGTCGAGGCTTGGAGAGGGTGTGCATTGAGTAGCCAGGTCCAATATGGATGGAGGGTAGCGCCCCTTTGCATTTGGTGGGGGCTGTGGCAAGAGAGGAACCGGCGGTCCTTTGTTGGAGTTGAGGTTCGAGCTTGACTGCTTGAGCACTCAAGTTCTCTATTCCATATACTTTGTTGTTCTGGTTCAAGGATGGAATTGTAAATTACTTGGGGATATAGTTTTTTTGTGGATACTTTGATTGTATATAGCAGACCCTCTTGGTCTAGGTTTTGTTCTTGGGCTTTGCTCCCCTTTCAAGTGCTTTTTAATGAAATCTAGTTTTAATTTTTGTTTTTAAAGTTACTTGTCAAAAAAAAAATTGTTTTTAAAGTCCACCACTCTCTGAGTGGCAAACCATCCTACCCAACTGCATAGTAAATGCAGAGATTCATATTTGTACCCTTGGATTTAGAACTGAGCCAAATCAGAGCTACATATGGATTTTAACTTGATCCAGAATCCATATAGTTTTAAGCCAGAACCTGTAACAGTTCATCATCCCCAAACATGTTAGAGAGATATATTGGAAAAGTATATAAAATACAGGAGACAGCTGTAGGAAAACGGGGAAGTTGTTAAGCCCATTGAGAGAATGGAACATTTTTGTCACTTTGATCATGTTGTTAGTTATGTAGCTGTAGTTTTGGTATGAACTCCTTTGCAATTGAGTTCAGTTACAACTGTAATAGTTTTTGAAGTAGCAGTAGCAGTAGATAATAGTTTTTATTTTTATTTTTATTTTTATTTTGCCTGTAGATAATAGGTTTTTTTATTTCTGTTATTCTGATGATGGTGGTAGTAATTATCTTGTTAGTGTTACCAGTTCTCACATGTGATGATATAGCTTCTTATAGTATGTTTTATCCAATGCAGAGAAGGGGCAAGGGTGATTTGGAGCTATGTGGACAGAATATTAGGACAACCATCGCTGATCAGAGAGTCCTCTAGAGGGAAGTACCCTTGGTCAGGCTTGTTTTCGCGTGGTTTGAGCACACTATCACGTAACACTAATAAAGGGATTGCCTCCAATGAGAAAGGTTTTGGTGATGTTATCTTAAACCCTTCTCTTCAAAAACGAATACAGCAGGTGGCTACTGCCACTGCCAATACCAAATCCCATCAGGCTCCGTTTCGGAACATGCTTTTCTATGGTCCTCCAGGGACAGGGAAAACAATGGCTGCTAGAGAGTTGGCTCGTAAATCTGTATGAGATCTTACCCTCTTGCTTTATTATGTTCTTTGAATTGTAATTGTTACCATGTGTTCTTTATTGTGTTCCATGTTTGTAAGGTGATTGTATGACTTCAAGTTTGTGTTGGAAGTCAGAGGGCTTCAATAATAAAAGTTAGGAGAGATGAGATGTGGGAGAGTAACATTCACTTTGAAACGTTGCATCCACTTGATACAAATGGCTAGATTGCTCAAGTTTATATTGCCTTCAAAAACATGCATCAAACATTGGATACCACTATCCCCACTAACATGACTTCTGGAGATCTTCTTCTCCCATAACTTTTATCTTTTCATATAGCTATCACTAATACTATTATACTTCTACTAATATGATAAATGCATTCATGAAAATAAATCAAATTTATTGTCCAACACTTCCCTTAAACTTTAGGTCCAAGTGCAATAAACCCCCTTCAACTATGGTTCAAGTGCAAATAGCCCCCTCAAACTACAAAATAAAAAATAAAACCCCTAAACTATTGAATTGGTGCATTTTAAGGACAGAAGTGACATCTCCGGACAACTGCCCTTATCAGAAGTGTTAAAAGATAGTTTTGCCCTCAACTAAAACTACGTCGTTCTAGTCTTATTTTACATTTATAAAGTTTTAACAATGGACGCGGAGATTGCAATCTAAACAACCTCTCACACGTCGACACGTCAGCAACCTTATCAACTATTCTCATCTCTTCTTAACCTAACCACCTCACCTCTATCCATTCACATTTGCGCCAGACACAACACTACTGAGACCAACACTCTGAAACCCTAGACCAACACTCACTGAGACGAAACATGAACCCAAGTTTCTTGATTACATGATTAATAAGATTGTGCATGACTGACATTCAGGAAGAGAGAGACGGGCGTACCAGATTAATTGTGTTACCTCTTACTTCATTTCTTCTAAAAAAGAGTCTGAAGCAGATATGGCATAAATAATGATTTTCATTTTCTTTTGCTTGTAATTACCATTTCTCCATGCTTCTTTCCATGTTTAATTTTAGAATTATAGATAGAGGAATCATTGCTTGGTGTAAAAGCTTGGACTGTTGAGTGTGAGTACACGGGTTGAAGATTGCGAAACTAGGTCTCCTGATATTTGAGTCCCCTTGTGTAATATATATATATATATAGGTATTCATGGTTCTTGTTCAAATTGGGTTTATGAATATGGGTTGAACTATTATATATATGGTTTATAGTTTGCACACACTCACTAGTTGCGGAGGAGAGGAAGTGTGTGTGTGTGTGTGTGTGTGTGTTTTAGAGAGAGAGAGAGAGAGAGAGAGAGAGAGAGAGAGTAGGAGGGGTACTGTAACACTGCGTACTATTGGTTGTCTGCAACAATCCGTATATATAGAGATGGATGATAAGAGGATAGAGATAGAGAAGAGAGTGAAGAGAAGAGAACTGATTTCCGGAGTTAGGATTAAGGATTTGGGAATTTTGGGGGAATAGACATAGGGCGTGTTTGGCCTTTAAATGTAATAAAGGGGCATTATGGTCTTTTTGTATTATAAGGGTTGAATTGTCATTTAATTAAAATATAGTTATCACATGACACGCACGTGCAATTTAACGGTCAAAAATGATCTGCTGGTGGCCGGACCAGGTAAATTGCCACCAAATCCCTAAGTTTAGGAGGGTAAAATGCCACTTTAGTACTTTAAGGGGGTTATTTGCTCATAGGGCCATAGTTGTCAGGGGTTTATTGCACTTTACCCTAAACTTTATTTTCTAACTTCAAGTAAACTCCTTAATTTTCTAAGTACTCTAACCAAGAGGGGCTTGTTCAACTTGTGTCAATTACAAAATTCTCCAGACCAATTTGCATACAACAATTCAAGAAATTCTTATCACCTTGGGCTTCAATCTCACTCTTCATTGGAACAACTTCATTCCCAATTTTATATTTATCCACAACAGGAGTGCTGATATGATAACTTATAATTGCTCCCTTCATTGAAGTACTTAACTACTCAATTTTATCAATTTCCGTACTCCGCCTGTGTTTCTTTACACAACCGATCCCAAGCCCATATAAAGGAGGGTTGCAATAGGTAGTTTGACAGTCAATTTAAAACGTTATCATGAACAAAGATAGATGTTCGGTAAGACTAGAAAGGATAGAATTAGAAATGATCACATTCGAGAGATGGTTGGAATAGCACCACATTGGAGATAAAATGAGAAAATCAGTTAAAGTTTGTTTAAACATGTGTAATGAAGACCTTTAAGTGCGCTAGTTAAGAAGAGTGACATAGTACATATTGAGGGTAATACTAGGGGAAGAGGAAGGCCAAAGTTAACATGGGTAGAGTTAGTAAGAAAGGACACGATAGCATGTGATAAAAAAGATTGAGGCTAGGGCCTTAAATAGAGCGGAATGGGAACCTAGGATTTATGTAGCCGAACCCAAGTTGTTGGGAAAAAGGGTTGGTGGTTGTTGTAATTTTATCAGATTTCACCTCATTTTCAACAATTTCTTCTTCTCAACTTCTTTTACATTTTTATTGTTTCCAATAACTTTTCTCTCCACTTCATTCTTCTCCAATTTTTTCATTATCTTTTCAACATCTTTCTTTACCAGTTCCTTTTCATTCAAAATTTCAAGTTCAAATTTTGAATCGTTGAAGTTCTTCAACTTTACGTGCATGGTACTTGTTTCCATCCTCCACAAATTTCTCTTCAAGACTTTCAGTCTTCTTTTCAAACTCATCTTCCTTGAAGCATTGTATTCAATAATCTGTAAGTCTATATAGCCTTCAAACATTGTATACCACTACTCCCACTACCAACATGACTTTTCTACAACTCCCATGACTTCTGGCTTTTCATACAACTTCCACTAATACAATAATATGCCTACTGATATGAGAATGCATTCATGAAAATAAATCTAGTTTATTTTCCAACAGTTCGATCCAGTGTTTCAATGAGCTATGCAAGGTTCATGTCATTATTTCATTATTTTGTGGGTAAGTGTTGTAATTTGACTTGAACTAAAGTAGACACCTGAAATTAGTTCAGGCTAGATTTTTTGGACAATTGTAGAAGTTCGAAGACTATATTAAACACGGTTTTAGATTCTCCTGTTGAGTTAAAACTTTTTGAGTTTGATCTGGCCAGGAATATAGAGAGGTCTATGGCTGTGTTACATGCTTGTGGATTGTAGAGTATGTGTGTTTTAGTACTTTAATGGTATTAAACTATGAAGAATGTGTCAATATACTTGGCAATTCTCTCATAATTGTCTGACATGCTCCCAGGGACTGGATTATGCATTGATGACGGGTGGAGATGTTGCACCACTGGGCGCACAGGCTGTTACCAAGATACACCAGTTGTTTGATTGGGGCAAGAAGTCCAAGAAGGGTTTATTGCTATTCATTGATGAAGCAGATGCATTTTTGTGCGAGTAAGTGTTGTTTTGCCCATTATTTGATTTCCAACAATGTCTGTGTCATATGTGGTATGGAAATATAGTCCATGGCATGATGCAATGAAAAGTAGATACTTGCCTCTCATTAGTAGTATAAGCCTGTGACAACTAATGTTGAACAAATGAGCATTTAATCAGAATATACACCACCATGGTCCATCTTGATAATTCAATGAAGTGCTCAACTTCCCTGAATGTCTCTTTCCTGTGTGGCTAAGAATACTGTTGGTTCACTTAACTTATCTGCAACAACTTGCTCGTTTTTTGACATTGTACTCGATTAGTTTGGGCAATAGACTTCACACTTCTTAGTCTCATATTAAGGGAGTAAATACATTTTTGGTTCCCTGACTGACAAAGGGGCATTTGCACATACAGTATAATCAAAACTTGCTTTTTTCTTTATGGCTTTTGAAGGTTTGGATTATTTTCGCTTTGGAATCATTTCAAAAAAGAAAAAATTGTCAAAATTTGTGATAATGAAAATTAAGTCAGTCCCTTGAGAACAATTCTATCCTTTGAACACACTCCCATTTCTGTGAGAAGAGAGTATACTCATTTCAAATGTTGGATAAGATATGAATCTTTGATATCTCACCATAAGTATCTGATCATCCCCTTAACAATGTATCATCACTGCGAACTGTTTTTGTTTTCTATCTCATTTTGACTAATTCATGGAGGAACCTAAATGTGAAGTTGGATTTGTTGATTTCATTTTTCAGACGGAACAAAACCTATATGAGTGAAGCTCAAAGGAGTGCGCTCAATGCTCTCCTTTTCCGCACGGGTGACCAGTCTAAGGACATAGTCCTCGCTCTTGCTACTAATCGTCCTGGCGATCTTGATTCTGCTGTTGCAGATCGTATTGATGAAGCCCTGGAATTCCCTTTGCCTGGTGAAGACGAACGATTCAAGCTGTTAAAACTCTATTTGGACAAGTACATAGCCCAGGCTGGGGCAAGAAAGCCAGGTTTATTCTCAAAGTTTTTCCAGAAACAACAGCAGAAGATCGAGATAAAGGGCTTGACTGAGGATATTCTGAAGGAAGCTGCAGCTAAGACAGGAGGATTTTCAGGAAGAGAGGTAGCAAAGCTGATGGCAAGTGTTCAGGCTGCTGTTTATGGGAGTGAAGACTGTGTGCTTGATCCAAACTTATTCCGTGAAGTGGTAGATTATAAAGTTGCAGAGCATCAACAGAGGAGGAAATTGGCTGATGCTGACGGAGGTCTTCCTTCATGAAGCGTTAAATCTAATAGTAAAAATATTGGCAGGTTTAAATTATCTTTTGGTTAAGAGCGAGCAGGTGAGTATCTGCTTTTCTACATGCCACTGTCGGCATATATTATTTGGGTGACATGTTATTATCGTTTGCCCATCAACGGGAATTTTTGAATATTTTGTTTTAGGTTTCATTGAATCCTAATTCTGATGAAATTATGAGGTATCCATAGATCATATGTATTACATATTATTTTACAAATTTAAATTGGTTTTTTTTTTTTTTTTTTTTTTTTTTTTTTTTTTTTCGCGGATTTTTCCCCTTTTATTGCTGGAGGGCATCCCTGTCTAAGCCCTCTGTTTGGTGTGGAAAAATTCAGCTGGTGACCCATTAACTATATGACCGAGAACCATATGCTGAAGCCAAACACTCTCACCCAATCCATTTAGGCCTAAACCGAAAATGCTGAAACAGTTCGAAAAAAAATGACTAAGAAACGGAGTTATAAGCTTTTTTTTCAAATCAATTTTCACACATCATAGCAGCTTTCCAAGTAATTTTAATTCCCTCAACAAAGTGCTTCACCATCAATAGGGTCTTTTCACCGTGTGAATTTGCCAAAAATCTCTCTGCTTTAACCATTGATGGCACCCATGGCTCACAGCCTTTCCATATGGCCAAAATCCAACCACCATTGTTCTCAGTCCACAATAATTCACATCTGGCTCACTCGAGAGAAATTATTACATTGTGTGACAGGTTGTGATTGGTCGGGATTATGTAGTTCTGGACTATGTAATAATTTTACTTCACTGTGAGCACGTCAGTGTATCTAGGATTACCTATGCGTGAGCGCGTCAATGCCTATAATTTCTCGATATGATGTCAATAATATACATGGACCACATATGCGAGAACTAATTCACACGGTCCGCATATGTGAGAGCGCATCATTATCTATAATCTCTCTCCATGCGATGTTAATAAATTTACGTATGTGAGAGCACGTCATTGTCTATAATCTCTCTCCATGCGATGTTAATAAATTTACATGGACCACCTATTGCTCGTCATTGTCTATAATTTCTCCATATGGCGTCAATAATTCACGTGGATCCACCCATAAAAGAGTACCTTAGTGTCTATATATATAATTTCTCCTCACACTTGTGCTTTGACCTGCTGGAGCTTTATATTTTTTAGCACGAACAAAGGATTGCCATTAAATAATTTCTCCCGAGTTCGCCCAAAAGGTATCGTTTGGACCAAAGTAAGGAGCAACTCGCCATTCAGTCAAGGGAGGAACATTGGGGACATCGTCACGCAAGGCCATGAGTGGAATCCGCCCTTGAGTAGAGAAGGAAAATCTTAGGAGAATTTCAAGAAGAGGTGAGTTTAGTTTACACTATCAAGTCGGCAAAAGTGAGGAGTTTTAGGTTAATGAGATGGATTTGGTAGGACCCCTGCATGCCCTGTATGCAAATCTTAGCCAGCGCTTCCTCTTCATGGGTTTCGTAACATTCTATAGCCCGGTCGTCAAATCTATGGACATACGTAAGCAAGTCTTCACCCGGCCCTTGAGTTTCTTTAGTTAAAGAGAGAGTAGTCACCCTTTCCTCTGCCTGAAAGAACTTTGATTGGAAAATCGTGGCTAGTTGGTTCCAAGTAGTGAGCGACCCAGATTCTAAATTCGCATACCATTTGTAGGCCCTGTCCGTGAGAGTTTTTGAAAACTCCAAGCCGCAGAGTGTGATCGTTTCCGAAAGGCCCCAAAGCTTCAATAAATCGCACCATATGCTCTCGCGGGTTTCTTTTCCTCCCATCAAACTTGCTGAACAGAGCGATGGATTGTGCGTAAGGTGGTTTTAGGGCCGTTTCCTGCATCAATATACTCTTTTCATTTTGTAGCAGTGCTTGCAGATCTGCCATCGTCACATACGGCGACCGCTGCGCAAGATCTTGTTGATGTCCAAGCTCCTCCGAACCCGTTTCCTTGTGACGTGCCTCCCTTCGGCTAGTACTTGGCATACTCAATCTTGTGGGTGCCGTGAGGGGGGTATTGAAAAGAGTTTGGCGAGCCCGCGGCGGTGTACCTCGGGACCGCCTGCATTGGCCAGCAACTCACCTTACCTCGGCTGATGATGAGAACGCATGTCTTGCCAAGTTGTTTGGGGTCACATGCCTCCCAGTGAGCTCGTCGGAGGGGTCACCGATCGGATCTGCACCTCGTCGAGGTACCCCGCTGTCAACAATCTCCTGCAGCAAGGTCACCACTTCTCTTTGTGTGCCCTCCAGCTGTTCCATTCTGTGCGACAGCGCGTTATGGGCTTCAACCAAGGCATCGGGATAAATAATCCTAGTTCCGGGAAAGTACGACCCAGGCATACTCACGGATCCATTATAGCCCTCGTCTAGGGAAGGGCTAGTTTAAGAGGGTGGACTGATCTTTCGTATGCTTAACATATGTGAAGCGCTCCTCCCCAATGAAGTCGCCAAAATGTTGATATTGGTTCATGAGTAGGATAAGAAGATCGTTCCACGTAAGCCAAGAATCTTGAGACCAGTATCCAAGTGGAGATCCAAGCAACACAAGGGATTCTCTGGGTATGGAGATTAAGAAAGGGAAGGCTGAACTCGATACTGTGTGAGCTCGAGCTTATCAGTAAATAGCTATTAATGTGGTTGTTCTGTGTCTTAAAGGCTGATTAACACCCCTATTTATAGTGTACCTCCTCGGTCAATGTCTTTTAGTCCTTTGGGTGAGCCCGCTCTCACCCAAGGGTTCGAGGGTCTTTCATTCTGATGGATGAGACATTGATGGACGGGCTGCGATGCTTTGCCCCCCAGTCAAAAGAGGTAATGGCGCTCCCTAATTAATATGGGTCTTATCAAACGTCTTTCGCAATTAATGCTTTCTTTATCCTTCCTTGCTCGAGCTTAGGTACTAAGTATCCTTTCCCCCTTGTGTTAGCCTTGGACTGAGGCGAGCCCTTGGATCTCAACCACCTATCCACATATCCTCAGATTATCGAATTCAGGAGGGAGAAGGTCTTCCTCGAGGTCCTGCCTTCATGACCTCGCAAAGCTTTATCCCAATTTTATAGTTCGAGGTCCCCGATGGCCAAAAGGGGAGACTCGCAAAGCAGGTTAGCCGAGGTTGCCCCTTTCAGAAGGCAACCTCGATCATCCGACTGGAGCAGGGCATGACCACAGAAAAGGAAGGGTAGCGACCCTTTCCTCGGCAGTGAGTTCAGTTATAGGACGAGTAGCTCGAGAATACTGTCCTTTCAGGAGCACGCCAGATAAGTGTTGGCCAGGTGTGCTTATTTTGCAGAGGTGGCGCCACCTAAGCAGCTATTGTGGCGCGGTCATCAACAGATAGTAAGCAATTTAGAAAACAGATTCTCCTCTCCGTATGAGGTTTTTTTGTCTTCTTAGGAGGTTTCTCTGCTAGTCAGAGTTGATTATTTCAGACCCGCTTCGCTTGCATCGTTTCGATCTCATGCTTACTCTCTTTTTCCTTGGCTTTCTTCTCTACTCTCTCATCTCTTGGGTAGCTTTTGTGTTTTCATTTGGCTCTTAATTCTATTCATGGTCTTCTTAAGGTAGAGTTTTCTGTGTGTTGAGGTCTCTGTTTTTCAGATGTTGTTATGTTTCTCTCTGATTAGGTGTCTAGCTGTTTTCTGATTGGGTTTGTGTGTTGGGGATCTTGATCCTTTTTCTTAGGCATGTCTTCTTTTGGTCATTATTCCCGATTTTGGTTTGCTCTTGGCAAACTTCTTATTCTGTTGAAGCTTTGGTGGTATATTATTCCTTTGCATCTTCTCTTTTCCTCTGTCTTGATCCGTCTCTTGGTTTGTAATACTGGTGGGAGGCTTTACAGTGGTGGTCTGTTACTGTTGTGGGTTTCTGATGTGCTTATACATCATCTCTGGATCAGGATTCCACCGCGATGTGATCGAATTTGGGTGTTCTTGTGTTTGTGTATGATCCTCGGTTGTCCTATTCTCCTACGGTGCTGGATCTGGCTTGGGGAACCAGTTTGGGGGTGGTTGTACCAGTGGATTTGGTGTTGTTTTCATCATATGAGGCCATTTAATTGGATCGTTTGTTGGTGTTACTCAATGATCGCCGGAGTTTGTGGTGGTTCTGGCGTAGTTTTGGGCTTTTCGGTTTGTCGACTTTGCAGGATGGTGTGGAATTTGTCGGCATGGTTAGGGTGATGTCATGGGTGACGTTTGGGAAGCTTCTAGTGGAAGCTTTATGCCGGCTTACAAAACTATGTTTCATGGCAATTGTCTCTTTCATAATGGGTTGCCGGCGAGGGACCTGTAAGGCTATGTAACGACCCAAACCTGTGGGTCCAAACAGTTAATCGGGTCCTTACGTCTTAAATAAGCTTCAAGGGGGTTTTAAACAACTTCCCAAGGCTCAGGATTGATCGTATTAAGAGGAGGAACTAAGTGCCACAAACAACAGCTAACTGGTTCGGTCGGCCGGTTATGGCCCAAATAGTAAGTGAGGCTACTGGAATGATCGGCCGACCGAAGTACCCATTTCGATCTGCCGAAATGGCCCTACGAGTTGTGAACCTTCCACTGGATGCAAAAAATGAAGAACCATTTCCCATTCACTTGAAATAAAGGTTTACATACATAATACATGATCCGAAAAATGATTTACATGAGTTGTATCAACGTTATAACAAATTTACAGTCCACAAAACAAAACCAAAAGTTTGCAAGGATCCACGATTTACAACTCTAGTGCATGATGCTTAAACTTTACAATAAGAGCTTGGTTCATATTTACATGCAAAAGACAGTAAAACAAAAGTCTAAATTCTATCTAGAGCTATGGTGGATTGTTGTCCGCCACTTCTTTTTCCGAACCTGAAAAATGATAATATGAAGGGGTGAGCATAAGCTCAGTAAGAGGTGCCTAAGATACACCTCTTGAGACCCCGTGAATCTACACAATGAATAGGAATGAATGAATTGGGATCATGCCATGCCGGGGGACAAACAACCACAATATCACATTAATAATCCAAGTCATGAATGAATATGTCGTGCAATGGGATGCAATATCATGCAATGTCATTCCCCATTTTCCAAAACCTGTTTCGTCATCATTTCCAAACCATTAGTGAAACCCGCCCCATGACAACTCCATGGCAGCACAAGAGGAGGATTGGCTAACTGTCTCTGACCCATGGTAACTCCATGGCATCATTTGGGTCCTAGGTAACTCAACCATGCTAAGGCAATCTCCCTAGTCC